CTTGTCCAAACCGCATCAGTTGAATTTGGGCACGTCTCCCCTTATAGGAGCAAAGACCAAGAAATGTAACAAATGTTTGTCAGGGACTACGACAAGCATCAGGAGACCACCCTCATCCTGCTGGCTGAAAGCACAGGGAAGAAGGAGAATTAGCCTGCAGGGTTTGGTGGAGGCAGCAGAGGGAAAACTTAATTGTCAGGCTTTTTCCTTCGTTGGCTTCACACTCCAGAATTAGCACCCACAATCTAGTACTGCCGCCTCCCTCCTTTGATGTCTTATAGTTGCCCCAGACCAGGGAACCCTTTCTTTCTGCACCGATACATATTGCTGCATTTAATCCTGCAATTTTTAGCACCTCGGCCACCCGCGTGCCCAGCCCTTGGGTTGTCAGCCCAGTCCAGAGGACACACAGGCCACTGGCTTATGCAACACTGGCCAAAGCTGACTGTATAGACACACCCTTGCCTTACACAGAGGGTGGATGTCCCATAAAGCCACCTATGACTACTCCTTCCAAACCCAGCTAAATGAAAACTAGTGGCTTTGTTATTGGGGTGGGGCTGGACAGGCCTCCTGAGTCAGTTGCTTTTCGCAGTGCCCCATGTGGTAAGAGGAGTGGATGTATTGGCCAGAGGCAGCTCACAGAATCCCTGTTCCAGGTGCTGGCTTCCCGCAGTTCCTCTAACCCACAATGGGCTAGTCATCTAGGGGCAGTCCACATCTTGTGTGGGCACTTTCTCCATCTAAACCACCACCATAACCACCATCTCCCCTCTCCCTTCTCTCTCTCTCATGCACACGCACACACACATGCCACCCGTACATAAGCATGCATGCACATATGAGACAGCACTAAGAGTCATAAGGTGTTCATTCTTCACTTAGGCCTGGAGGTGGCCAGAAGAGTTTAACCTGTACATAAATTAATATTAATTTTCTAATTGATTAAGGCTGGGGGGGAGGCGGGGAACAAAGGTAAATTGGTCCATGTGTCTCTCCCCTAGGAGCTACAATCTAGAAAAAGAGAGTTGTGTTTGGCTGTTGTAGGAACTAGTAGACCCTGAGCCAATTACAGCTCACTGAGGGTCAAAAAATTAATATCTCTTCTTGTCTTCCATGTCCCTCATCCTGGGCATTTAATCAGTTGCCAAATGCTCTTGTGTTTAGCTCTACGAAATCTCCCATACCATTCTCTCCCTCTCTATTTCTGACAATACCCTAAAAACTACTAGGCCATCATGAATGCCACAGAGGTCTCTGCTCACCTGTAACTCATCCGAGCAGCCAGGCTGGGGCACCTGGTAGGATCCCCATTCTTCACAACCTTGACCCCTAACTCTCACCCTGCTTCCTCTTTAACAGAAAATCCAGGCTCTCTGGTATGATTTACCTCAACTTCCTGTCCCTAATCTAACCTGGAAGGTATATATATCTATATCTATCACCTTGCTGTAGTAGAGGATGAAACTTACCTGTAGTCTCATTGGAACAGCTTATAGGAGCCAGTCATGACTCAATGGCTACAGGCATGCCTATAGAATGAGCAATAGCAGTGGAGACATATGGATGGGACAAAAGCCAAGTGGTAGCCACTGGGAGATGACCTGCCAGGTGCAGGTGCAGTGGGAGAGAGACTGGGCTTCAGCCCAGCCACAGCTGCACATACACAGGACGTGCCATCACAGGGGCTTTAGCTATTTATCCAAAATTGAAAATTTCATTTGCATAATATTCATATGAGTTTGGGCTACAGCTGAAAATAACTATCTGACAAGTGAGTTGCCATCACCTGCCAGCCCACCCAGAGCACAGCACTCACATCCCAGCTGAGGCCTTCCTGCCCTGTGGTCACCAATGGGAACTACTGGATATAAAAGTGCATTCTCTCCTTTCTTCTAGCCTCAGGGAAGCCTTCATTTCAGACTAGAATGTGTGGCTGAGACCCTACCTGTACCTCCAGATGTATCCTGGGTCCTGTGTGCATTCTCCTGAGTAAGCAGAGGGTGCTTGTACACAGTAAGGAGAACAGATCAGAATCACAGAGAAAGCTGGGTCCGATCACTTATAGAGTAGCTGCTTCCCTTGCAGTTCCATGAGCCCAAACTCTGATTTATATCAAGCCTTTGGAGTCATGAGCTCTCTGTGGCCCTACACCTCCCCCACCCCCACTTTCTACCATTTAGTCTGGAGGAACTAAATTATATGCACTTGAGAGGCACTGGATTGCTGAGCTAATTCCTTGACACCAGGGCACCAGAAACATCAACCTCAGATTACTGAGCAAGAAGCACTTATGCTGTGATGCCCCAAAGCTGCTGTTACCATGGGGATGTGTGTTGTAAAGATCCAAAGAAATTAGCACAGCAGGTTTGACCGAAAGATAAGGATTAAGTGGCCCCTTTTATTCACATCACTCAGAGAATGCCATCCCCATACAGAATCTTAGGGCACTTGGTTTGAATATGAAAGAGAACTATAGAACCACACAACCATTTCCAATAACAACTAAAACAAGCTGGAGTGTTCCTCTAATTCAGTTTTGGATCCAGGTGTGTCCCAGATCGCAATGCTCACGCACACAGAGCTGAAATAGAAGGACATCTGGATGTCCCATCTATCTCTCTCTGTACCTTTAGCCTGCTCCCTCTCTATAAGTCGGAGATTTCTGAGTACTTAGATGCATGTCCTCTTGGGTCCTATATTGGGATGTCAGACAGGAGAGGCCAGGTGATGGGAAGAAACTTGCCTAGTGGTGGGGGTTCCAGAGCACAAGGCTTGCCTCTGAGCTGGCCTTGGGGCTACACAGAGTCTCACCCTCAGGGCTACAGCTCTTAAGGCCAGCTGCAATGTGTCATTCAGTGAAGGCAGCTCCCAATCAAATGGGTTTAAATGGACAGCTCTTTTTTCCCCTACATCCAGGGTGCTAGACTGCCCTGGGGTGGTAGAGATGGGGTAGCTTCCATGTCAGTTGTCTCTTAGACATGGGCCTGCAGCTTGGCCTAGGGTGGCTAAGGAACATGTTTGAATCATTTTCACAGGAGGCGCAAACTGCATGAACAACGACATTATTCCCAAAGCCATGCAGTGTGGAGTGTGTTTGTTGAAGCTGGTGATTAGCTTCGGCAGTTACCTGTGGAGCCAAGGTGCCCTTCCCCATCTTCAACAGTTTGAGGGAAGATGGCCAACCTAAACTAAGTTCAGGTGGGGAGCTTTTCGCCCTAACCCAGTGGTTCTCATCTGGGGGTGAATTATCCTTTAGAGATTATTCAGTACTGTCTGAAGACATTTTTGGTTGTCACAAAAATGTGGATGTCAGAGAACGTACTATGCACAGGACAGCACTCCATAACAAAGAATTATCCAGCCCCAAATCTCAGCATCAGCCCTTCACACACACACACACACACACACACACACACACACACACCCTTCGCAGGGCTCAAGCTGGCTTAGGAGGTTAGGAGGTTAGGAGGCCTGGAGAGGATCAGACTAGTGTTTGCCACCTCATAGTATCCTGTCCCCTCTTCCTCCTTTCTCCAGTGGTCCTGTCTTTCTTCAGTCCTTCTAGGTTCATTTCAGAGGCCCAGTGCCCTTTCTTGCCACTGAGACCTTGATAGGTCTCCCTAACTTGGGACCATCTCAGGAAGCAGGGAAGGATAGGGGTTCAGGGCTTCTTATGCAAACTGACCCACTTTTTCCTCCTGTGACTAGCTCCATAGGACAATGGAGCTTTTGCTAAACCACAGACAAAGGGAGCCCACATTGACACAACTCAGGGAGAGCACTCCAGGGCCTTTAATAGAACAAAGACCAATAATTCATGAGAATTTTCTCTTGCTAAAAACAAGTGATAACAAAGTTTTTAAATTTTTTCTTTGGAAATATCCCTGAAGAATTGAAAGCAGGGACTTGTACACCAGTGCTCACAGCAGCATTATTAGCATTAGTCAAAAAGTAGAAACGACAACTCAAATGTCCATTGAAGGATGAATGGACAAACAAAAGGTGGTATATCCATACAAAGGAATCTTATTCAGCCTTAAAAAAGGAGGAAATTCTGACATATGCTGCATAGATAAATCTTGAGGACATTATGCTAAATGAAATAAGCCAGTCACAAAAGGACAGATACTATATGATTCTACTTTTGTGGGATACTTAAGAGTAGTCAAATTGAGACAGAAAGCAGAATGGTGGTTGTTAGAGGCTGTGTGGAGGAATGAATGAGGAATTGTTTCTTGAATAGTTTCTGGTTGGGAAGATGAAAAAGTTCTGGAGATGAAGGTCCTCATGGTTGCATAACCATGTGAATGTACTTAATGCCACTGGACTGTGCACTTAAAAATGGATAAAGTGGGAAATTTTGTTATGTCTATTTTACTTCAATAAAAAATTATTTAAAAAATCTCTCTTAGGCATGCACAGGAGCAGGCTGTGGACGTTGGTCCAGTGCTGTGGATAGGCTGTGGACCATCAGTGGGTCTAGTAGATCGTTAGGGCTACAGACTTTATTGGAAATTAACCAGTTTTTCACTTATGTTCCATGTCTGATCTAGAATCCTCATTGCAGTTTGGAGTGGCATCTCCTGTTACTTCCAACCCTTCATATTTCCTCAAATTTCCATGTCTTTCTTTCATGACCTTGGTAAATGTTTACTTTTTTGTGATCCTTATGAAGTTTTCTCAATTAAACTATGACAAATTTTTTTCTCTTAATCTCTTTTAGGGCCAGTTTGGTAGGAGATCATACATATATACACACACATGATGGTGTATTGGACATAAAGAATTCCATGAAGATTCACTTGCTCATTTGTCAGTCATTGAACAGTTGTTATTGAATCCCTGCTAAGTGTCAGGTAATGTTCTAGATTCCGGAGGATTACAGTGGTAAATAAGACAACGCCCCTGCTCTCAGGGACTCTAGTGGTTGTTGGGGGAGGGAAAATACTGGTAATGAAAAAGTAGATGGATACACAAAATAATTTCAGGCACTTAGATTGTAATTTTTTTTAACAATACACAGGTCTTTTATTTTTTTACACTTATCATGCCATGAATTTATAGGAAATGGGTTCCAGCAGCTCAGGCTCTTTCCATTGGTTCTCACAAAGTTTGCTTCTCTGGGCGGAGCAGTCTGGCGCTTCAGTTGAACCCAGGTACCTTTCTCTTTGGCTTCCTTCTTTTTTTGATCAATTTCCATCACACATTTCAGGAAGTTATCTTGGCTCTCAGAGTGCTTAATATGCTCGATGTTATTGGAGAGTGGGGATCCTCTTCTGGCATGTTGTCCAGGTTCTTGATGTCTCGAACAAAGAATTGAGTAAGACACTGAAGTACAGCAGAAAAGAATAGTTTTATTGGAAAGGCAAGTAAAACAACAGTACACTTCCAGACGTGGGAGCGGGCCTGAGCAAGAGAAGCGTAGCTCAAAAGGCCTGGTAACAAAGCCTTTGGGGTTTTTATCCCTATTTGCTGTGGGTGGTTACTTTTGTTAAGTAATCAATCAATCAATCAATCAATCAAGTAATCAAGTAATCAATCAATCACGGTGGGCTTCCTTGATTGACAGAACTAAGATCGACAGGACTCAGTGATTCATCATTTGCTTTCTGTGCATGTTCGTTCCCAGAATTCAGTCTGTTATAATGATATTAATGAACTTCAGGCATGTGCATCATATTATAATGATGATATAATGAGGCTCAGGTGAATTGAAGGTCATTGGGTCTTCATTGTGCAGGGGCAAGTGACAGGCTTAAACTGGTACCTAATTCTCTGCTCACTTGTTTCTATTAGTTACTTTTAGCCTAAAAATGCCTTCTGGCTTGCTTAATTGTGGGCGGATTAAGACGGATCCCTTCTAGGATAGGATGACCTCAGTGTCTTTGCAGGGAGACCCGAAGCCCCCTAACTACCTTTCTTGCCTATCTCTTTTCTAAGAGCCATGAACTCCCTTATTATTAGTATGGATGTTGAGGGACTCGAGGTCTCTTCTGTATCTGCTTCTTGCTGAGAAGGGTCATTGTCCCTGCCTA